TCATCTAACAATTAACATGACATTCCGGTAAAAATCCACTTTTCTCAAAATATAAAATACCCACGTCCAACCCACATCACTTCACATCTAGCCCAGGGCCGGTTCACTCAATGTTAAAAGGAGGGGGACTAAGTTTGTTTTCTCATTCCCGGACCTGCTGTAGATAGCGCAGCTGTTGCGTTTTTGGCGCGCGTTTAAAAAGTGAAGTTGTGCAAAAGTGCATTGATTGTGGTGCGTGTAGGGAATATCCATGAATATTATCCGCTTTTCTTGTGATTTACTACAAATAATTAATAGTATTATTTGCAGAAAATGGGTAAATGTGCGGTAAGAGGATGCCCAACCACGTGGAATATGCCCTTCCACAAATTTCCGAAGAACAATCAAATGCGTGAACTATGGTTAAAACTCATAAATCGCCACGATTTAATTGGTAAATTATGTATGAAATATTATGAAAGTTAATAAAATATTATGTACTAATACAGTCAATTAAATATGCACACTTTGATACAATTGGTGAGACAGAACCTCACTTCTACATGTGAAATTTTTTATAGTAGAGAATTTACAATCTGCCCAATAAATGGGGATCTGTGGACCATTTATTTATTTATTTATGTTTATTGCAGGCACCTCGTGGGAATCAATCAGAAGTTTACGCATTTGCTTTGAACATTTTCGGGAAAATGACTACTGTCAGTTTAGTGCCAGACGGAACTTGAAAGTTAATGCTATGCCTTTTCTGACTGGACACCTTTCAGCTTCTTCTGCACAGTTTATAGGTCAATTTACACATTTAAAGATATAATAAATTATTTACATTTTCATAAATGAATGAATTCCCATTGTGTAAACATGTTTATTGTTTTGATTCAATGTGTCATTTTAACATTTGCCAAAAATCACTACTAATGAATTAGATTTACTGGAAAATGTAACAATAATAGTTAATGGATTCATTGAAAATAACAAAGATGACAAAAAAATTTGAAATGACATAATGGTATTCTTTTCTATACTTTATTATATTAGAAATAAATATGAGGTTTTATTGAAGATGCCTTCTCTTGTGTTGAGAGATAAAGATAAATTTTATATTAACACTACATACAAGGAAACAAAACAAAAACACAATTCAAATACAAGTTTAAATCTTTCAACGAAAGTTAAATAGAATGATATCAAATTTGGGGGGAGGATAAGTTTTATAACTTAAACGTTTTTTTGCCAAAAAGCATTATTTAATATACTTTAAAATAATCACTAAAATTGTTGGTATGACAACAATGAAAGTACAATTGCTTTTAGTACTTTCTTTTTTTTAAAAGAAATTGAATTTATTAGTGAAATATGTATTAATTACTGATTTATAAATTATTAATGTTAAATATTTTCATATGTACCAACAAATCATGAATCTCCAGATGAATTCTATGGAAATTATAAGTGCTATTACAAATTCATAAAGAAATGTATTACAAACTAATTCATAAAGTGCCAGTTGTAATTCATTTTCAGATGCACCTGTTACAAAAGTAGAAGTACCTGATGCAGTGATAGAGCTACCTCCTGAGCAAAATACAGGTGTCATTACATATTGAAAACATATATTATAATAATCTGAGCTTATTCCTGAACTATAAACTCAATATTAATTGATAATGTATTGGTTTTCATTTACCTTCAGATACACCAGCTAAAACTGTTCTTAATAATCAGGATTCACCTTATTTCATACAAAATTTAGGTATAATCACAAATTTAAAAATATATGTAATATTTATTTATTACAATGATACATTAAATTATGAAATGCTTGTTTCTCATTTATTTTCAATGTACTAATAGCAAATATAGAAGAAAACAAGGAAGCATTACAGATAGGTCCTAGTATGCAGACTATAGGTAAAATTACAAATTTATTTAAAAATATAGTATAATCTAAGTTTATTCATTACATGTAGTTAATAGAAAGTCATTACATTTTCTTATCTTTTCTGATTAACCAGAAACAAATATAACAACAAATCTGAAAGGAGTGTCTGAAGTTTCTGATGCAGATCCACAGATGTCTAGTATGCCTAACATAGGTAACATTAAACCAATATATATATTTATTAAATTTTTTAAAAATTTCCAAAAGTAATATAATAAACTCTCACTTCAATGATTTTCAGAGGAGTCCAATAGACATCAAAAATTGTTGCCTTGTACACGGCAAAAAGATTTGACTCCCAGGAAGAAAATCATGTATAAAACAATTCTAAATTTAAAAAAGAAAATTTACAAAAGAAATCAGAGCTTAAGAAGAAAGAATGAGAAAAATAAGGCATTAATTCCACAAAGAAAAACAATACTGGATGAAACTGTAAAACAATTTACAAAACCACAACAGGATTTTTTTTCTCTCCTTATAAATAATTTTGATAAAAAACCTCAGGTATTTTATTTGCATTACAATGAAAAATAAAGAGTTTGTCACTAAGTTATGTGTTTACAAATAATTTTCTATATTTAAATTTATTTTTACTATTCCATAAGGTATTTATGTCTCTAAAATCTGAGAATTATTCCAATGGCAAATTTAATTTACACTGAAAATACAATTCTTCTTAAAAATTACTTTTCTAAAAACTTAAAGATTTAAAGATATAATTTTAAAACACAAACCGAGTAAGTAATTCCAGCTACTAGTTTTAATTTTCTCAATTATAACCCTAAAATATCCATAATAATTAATTACTAATAATTATTTTTAAAACTTTACACTATTTAGCAATACTACAGGGATATTAATTATATATAAAAAAATGTATTAACTATTGAAAAGACAAGAAGAAAGTATGGTTTAATGTGAAATTCAATATTTAATTATTACAATATAACAATTTAACACGGTGTAAATACTTCGTATTTTTCTTATATTTATAAAATTATAGATCTTTACAATACATAAAATGTTATGTTAAACATTTTTTCCCAGCAATTAATTATTTTTTATACATGAAAATAAATTTTCTTATGAATCATTCTTTTCTTGTATCTTCTATGAATAAATATATGTAAAAATATGGGTAGGGTTGCACCAAATTCATTTACCAAGAGATACAAGCTACAAGTCCACACGGTAGTTCAAACCAACATATTTCCACATAGGTCACTAATCGGAAAAGTTATCTGTTATTTAAGTCAATCATTTAAAAGAGAAAGTTGAGCAGTACTTTACACTATGGCACCATTCAATACATGATTTCATTCCCACTCGCATCTCTTGGGTGTGGTCTTGGGATGTTCCCTTGATGCCATGTAACGCTTCCAATTATAAGAAAAGTGGGCATGATCCCTAGTACATGGTTGTCAGGCCAATGCCCAAAGTGGGCTGTACAACAAATGAAAAGAAAAAGAATTGTTTTATTAGTAATGTTAATGTGTCTCCTAATACATGATCACTTTTTACTGCTTTCAGTCTCTCATTAAAATGATAAATGAAGAGGTAAGAATTTCAAATGTCTTTCAAATAATTGAGACATAGAAAAATATGGAATCCCATGTAAACTTCAACAGTATTTAAAGTAAATTAGTAGGATGAGTAGTAGTAGTAGTAGTAGTAGTAGTAGTAATAGTAGTATACAAGAGAAAGAAAAGTATCATAGTGGTACAAGTAGTAGCATACTAGTTGAAGTAGAATCAGTAACAAAGTAGAGAAAGATGTAATACAAACAGATAACTTAATCTGAAATGTTATTTTGTACTATTAACAAAAATGCATGTTTATAAATAAATATATTCATATTTAGAGTGAATATAAAAATATACACTGGACTAAATTTGAAGCTTGCGTATTAAAACACTATAAACTACAATTTATAAAAGCATGTTGTATATTAACATGAATTAGCATTAATAAAAATAATATTTTGTTTTATTATTTAATGTATTTTTTTTTTTTAATGGGTGAGATGCATTAATATTGATATGACTATAATATTAAAACATTTTGTGAAATACAAGTTTATTCCAAATAAGAGATAAGTATCACCTTCCATGCCTTGTACAATGCATTTAAATTTTATGTGCAAATAGTTTTCACATTTTATAATTTAATTTGAAACTAAAACTTTGTTCTATTTTATAGGGAAAACGCTTCAGCACTGATGAGAAAATTCTGGCATTGTCATTGTATAAAATGGCAAAAAGGAAATGCTATAACTTTTTGAGAAGGTTGTATCCTTTGCCTTCTATAAAAACATTAATAAGTGTAATGGAAACTGTCCACATTAGCACAGGTTTTAATGAGATTATCAAGGAACATCTAAAAGATAGTTGTTCAAAAATGTCCCCCATTGACAAAGTGTGTGTGTTAATGTGGGATGAACTTTCATTGTTAACAAGAATAGATTACGACAGTCACAGAGATGTAATAATAGGCATGGAGGATTGGGGAACCAATCGGACCAACAAATTAGCTAACCATGCTTTGGTCTTTATGTTGAGGGGCATAAATTCTGGATGGAAAATTCCCATTTCATTTGGATTCTGTTTCAATCAGACATCAGCAACCCAACTAATAAGATGTATAAAGATATGCATTAGAGAGGTTACTCATGCAGGGTTTAATATTGTTGGTAAATGTCTTTTAGTTTTGTTACACAAGTATTTAAAGTAATTGATGTAGAAATATCTTTCAAAATAAATCCAACTTCAAAAAGTAATTGCCCATTATGAGATGAATAATACAAAAAAAATTATTACTTGTTTTCTAATACTATATTAAGTAATCTTTTTCAGCAACAGTATGTGATCAGGGATCATCAAATGTGAAAGCTGTTAATTCCTTGTTAGAAGAAACTAGAGGACATAGAATAAAAGTCAACAGTGCTCAAAGTAAATATTTTGTTTTTAAATTCCAATGTTTACACAGAAACATTTCTCATTTTTCTATGCATTTTTGTGGATTTGTAACAATTTGTCTCCAGAAAATAAAAACAATAAGTTTCATAATTTTTAGTTTTTACATTTTTTCATCTCTTCTTGAGAATTTTTGTAACATTAATATTACAACAAACACAATGACTGATCCATTGATATATTTTTCAATTGTATAGCTGCTTGTAATTTATTTTCTACATTTTCATTAATATTTTCACATAATTTTTTTACATTATATTTTATGTAAATGTTCTATATTTATACAATTGTCAGAATATAAAAGAAACATTATTTTTAGGATTAACTTACCTCATTGACAAAACAGAAGTAATTCACCTGTATGATGTGCCACATTTACTGAAAGGAATTAGAAATAATCTTTTAACAAAAAATTTGGAAATAGATGTAGGAAAATCAAAGGAACCTAAATTAGCTTCATGGCACATCATAGAAAAGGCCTATAACATTGATAAACATGTAAATAAGATTAATAAGGTCATGAGGAAATTGTCTGATGAACACATTATATATAAGAAAATAAAGAAAATGAGAGTTAAATATGCTGCACAGATTTTTAGTAAATCAGTGTCAGCCTACATAGAATTCATTTCTCAAATAGATGGTAAATATAAATTTAAATATTAATTTGCTTACACAATTTCAATATTGTTTCATATACAGTATTTTTATTAATTTCATAATTTCATATTTAATAATTATTCTTGACTTCTACTCTTGAATTGATTGGATCACATCCCACAAATACTTAAATGAAATTTAATGTAATATGTTAAGGAGCAACAAGCAAATGTTAAGAAACGATTTCATCAGTTCAGGAATAGAGGGGCCAATATTTTTTATGCTTTTGTGTTTGCATAGTATGTATACATATAAAAGGATGTGTCTAATTACCATAATTTTTTTGTAGTTGAATTTGAAACTCCATCTGGAACTTTCAAAATTCCTAAAAAGGAAGGTCTGGCTACAGCAGAGGTTTTAAATTTTTTCAATGACTTGTTTGATTCCTGCAATGGGAATGCAGAAGGTTTCACTTTATTGTCTGCTGTATCAAATAGTAGCCCTCACAGATCTTTTTGGATGGAAGCAAAAAAAAAATTAACAAATATGAGATTTGTGGACCCAACTAACCAAAAAGAGGAAAAAGTTCCTTCCTTAACAAACTGGATCTTCACAATTGATGGTTTCATCTCTTTAAGCCAGAAATTAAATAAAATTGGGTTCAGCCTCTTTAAAACAAGGAATGTGAATCAGGACCCTGTTGAAAACTTCTTCAGCTCCATCAGAAGTTATAATGGGCCAAATTCGAGCCCCACTCCTCTACAATTTTTTAATTCCTATAGAACTTTATTATTTAATAATTTGAATTGTGCTAAAATGAGTGGAAACTGCGAAGAAGCAGAAGGAAACTTATTGTTCACATTTCAAAAATTTGTTTCCCAACCATGTGAACAAACAAATCAAACAGGAAGTTATGAAATAGAGACACCTGCAATGACCCCTGATATTCCAACCCCAAAAGAAGGATTTTTGGAATCAATTCATTCTTCACCTGACTTTGTGGCAAAGAAATTTTTAAAAAAATTTAACTGCAAGATTTGTCAAGAAGCATTTCAAAATTTAAATTATAATTCATCCTTTTTATCAGCAGTACAATCACTCATACCTTTTTTGGATAATCTTGGCCATGCCAAAAACATCAAACTAGAGGTGGAAAAAATATTTGAAAATCATTTTAATGTCTTATGGAATACATGCAATTATCATAAAAACATCATAGGTAATGAAATTGCAACAATAAGTAGTACTATATTAATACGAGCATGGTGCAACATAATAAATAAAGAAGTACATAAAAGATCTCAAGAGGTAAAGAAAACTGTGCCATGAACCTAATTTTTCAGGTGGACAACTTTAAGATGTTTTTGCTCTGGTTCAATCTTGGTATTACAGCTGATGTCGAAAAATTTTACCACCTTCAGGACTTAAACCTTAAGACTTTCCAATTTGAGTATGTGCAGCTAAATCAGCTAGTGTGCCACAAGTCATCATTATGGCCAAAATTGACTAAATACACAAATATGAGTCAAGATGGCTTTGAAATATCCTCATAATTTGACAATTTCATTACCTGTATTACTTTGAGGGTTATTTTCCTTGGTTCCTTATGGTACCTTGAGGCTCTAATATTTTCCACATGTATGGATGGATGTTTCAGACCGATTAGCAAGAGGAACACTTTCAGACTTATTCACAAATCACCTGTTAAAAACAGGTAAAATACTCTTTATTTCTTAAAAATGTCAAAACATTTGAAAAATCCTTTATTGTTGATAATTTTCTTTGTATTGCAGGAAATAAAGAAAAATTTGCTCCTACTTTCAAAGTTGGTTAATTTTATTCATTGGATTCCAGTGAAGTATAATGTTCAAATGATAATTGTTCAGATAGATGATTTTGACACCTCTACTGAGTGGAAGACATTAACACTTACAGCAAATTATATAATAGCAGGTAAAATCCACTTTATTTTTTGTAATGCCATAACATTTGAAAAAATGTCTCATTTTGACAATGTTCTTGTTTGCAGGAAAATGTTAATACTTTCAAAGTTCATTAATTGTTACATTGAATTTAAGTGATATGACATGCTCACAGAAATTGAAGGGCTGGATGTTTTTGACCACCACATATAATACCCTTGACTGAAAGAAAGAATTGCACTTATTTGTCCCTTTCAAAACAAACAGGTAAAATTGCACATAAAAATAAGTCATTTGAAAAATATCATTTATCATTCAAGTATGGATTTTGTTTTTGTTTTGCTGGAAATTGTTTGTATTTCCCTGTTAACAGTTACATTGCATTTAAATAAAATCAAGTCAATAACAAGCTATGAATAAAAAAATTCAATAGAAAACATTTTAATGACAACAGGGGAGGTGCAGAGCATGAATTCATTTACCACCTAAAGCTTTTAAATCGAACAACACTGAGCATGTGTCAAATTGACTCACAAGTGACACATATGTGAGCATGCGCAGCCTGCTTGATGCTCTAGTGCTCAGATGGCTTACCAAAGGTTCCACTGGTGTCTTCCAAGATCACATCTAGCTTGTGGCTCTGCTACCCAACTGGTTAGTGTTGTGTCATCAACTTCAAAGGTTTAGTATTTTAGTGTGAATTGAACTTACTTATTGTCAGTAAAAGAAGGTATTTTTGTGAGTTATATCTACACATAGTAACTGTCAATTACAAATTGAATATATTTTGTGAGTTTATTTTATATTTGTTGTTTGTTTTATTACAGATGGCTGGAAGACATGGCAGATGAGGAAATATTGTTATTGCTTGAAGGCCAAGATTTGACTCTGATTATGGTGTGTGTATTGTTCCTAAATTAGTTTTTATCTACAAACAATGAAATGCTGGATAAAAACTTATATCATCTAAGTGCATTAGTAAATAACTACTACAAATTGTTTATTCATTTCATAATTGAATTGAATTAATGCCTTATTATACGCGGCGAGACTCAGGTCATTAGGCCTGCTATTCCGTCTGATCAAGCAAATTTCGCTACACTTCTTTCACCAACTAGCAGAGAAAGGAGGTATTTCTTGGGCGAGAAACAAGCGATTTGAATTCAGCTCAGAGGCGTCATTTAGGCTTCAGGATCTTTAACATGCAAGTAAATCTACTAACATGGGACAGCTGGCTTTACTTCCCCTCCAAAGGAAGGCATAGGAAGGATTTTCTCACCCTTAAAAATCCACAGCTTCAATCGTGTTTGAACCCACCAACTTGGGTAGAACAGTCCAATACGCTAACCGCTACACCATCGCCATGCTTTCATTAGCATGTTCATTTTAATGTATATTACATTGTATTTTTTTCTACAAATTGTTGAATTATGTAAACATGTGTATAAGAAATATAATATATTCTTTATATAAACTGTGTAATTGATTTAAGTCATTATCTGTGTAACTTAGTTTTTCTAATATTTTCACGTATCACATAAATATTAGCTTAAATCATTAATTTTTTTTTAAATTATCATTTGATTTAAATCATGATTGAAATCACACCAGCCTTAATTTTTAGTAACATTTTTTAGCCAAAAATAGAATTGGAATTTTGATACAATAACAATCATTGGTTCTGTGACTATTTTGAGTCAGTCTTTGAAAACCGAGGAAAATGAAACAAATGTATAAATTACACTAGTTTTATTTTGGGCACGTTGACTCGCCTTGTAATTAGTAATAACATACCAGTAAATATGCTTAGTGTTCTAAGATTAAAGAGGGAATTTTCATTGTTTACAAAAAAAATATCTTACGAAATGAAAATTTGTGGAAAATATAGCAATTTCAATTTATTTGTTTCCCCGAACTTTTACGCAATCTTCTTTTGGGTTGGGAATAACTTTCAAAATAAAATTCATAACTTTCAAATAAAATAAACAATTGGCACAGATTTCTTCTGTTTAGGCTGCAATACAAGATTTTTCATTTTCTATAGCTATCTAATTAGTTACTGCACATCATGACTGTATTTCCACAGAGTCCACACAAACTATCCTCATTGAAACCTACAAATGGGCAGAACAATACTGAATTGTTTTGGATGACGAAATTTTGACAGTATATGTAATGAAATTAGATTAGATTTTTACTGTAACTATGAATAATATTATTACAGGATTTATTGTTCAGATGATTCATTTACCAATTCAAATTTGGCTACATTTAATTAAAAATCATCTAAAACAATCTTTTGTAGCATTGAAGTATGTGAAATATCCACAAACGTATTTTACCCGATTTGGACAGTGCCATTAATAATTTTTAAATCTTCAAAATAAAATATAGATATTCAAATTATATTATTTATTACACATTTCAAAACAAAAGTTTTTTCATTGTTCACATTCAAAATTGGTTTGATTATTCATTAATAGATTTCCAGTGCTTGTTAGGGAAGTTTTTCTAAACAAGGCCATTATTATTTGATAAATCTGTTGCTGAAATAATACATTTGTCTACAATATCATCGAGACTAGCAGCACTTGCAGCATCAAGGGAAA